TCTCTCTACCTGCAAAACAATATGAGAAAACATAAAAGTAATATCCCTATGCTTCGCACTATTCCTCTCTGTCCAGGTGAACCAAAGGATCAGACAAGGAATGAGGAAGCCCACGTGTCTAAGGTGTGTGCTCTGTGAGAAAAAACTCAGGAGCTCAAAAAAACTGTATGTGGTGGGTATGGATATATGAGTCCAAGTGGCAAAATGCTCCCACACTCTCCTCACAATCTCACTCTCTAGAAAAAGGTGGGTAAAGGTCTCGGTCTCATGGCGTCCAGTCTCAGAACAACACACACACCGAGAGGGGAAGGAGATATCTCTCGCGTGTAGCGCAGTATCGACGGGTATCCGGCGCAAGAGGAGGCGCCAAAAGAACACCGAAATAGTAGGGGTGAAAAGGTCACTCCAGATGGCCTCGAAGAGGAGATTAGGCCGATCCTCAGCCTGATCTGCTCCCAAGACGAGGTAGTAGAAAACACACCCGATGATGTAAGTCTCCACCTCATGCTATCTGAACCGTCCCCCGAGATAGGGATCTGCTAGATCTGATCTAATAAATGCCCGCTAAAACCCGCACCAGACCCCAACTCCCTATCAAGCTTCCCCCTATCCCACGACCCGTCCGTCCAGAGGTCGCTCACAAGCAGGTAGGGGGAATGCAACACCTGCCTATCTCTAGACAACGGCCTATCACCTACCCACCACTCATCCCAGAAACTAACATTGCCCTCACAAGGTTAGTTGTCTCTTGTTGCTAGGTTAGTTTTCTGTTGTTGCTAGGTTAGTTAAATGTAGTTGCTAGGTCAGTTAAATGTAGTTGCAAGGTTAGTTGTCAGATGTTGCTAGGTTAGTTATGTCTAGTTGCTAGGTTAGTTGTCTGTTGTTGCTAGGTTAGTTGTCTTTAATTATGCTTTCATACATGATGCATACTAAGGTCAACGGGGCAACGCCGGAAGTCAACGATTCTTGCCAAAAGTCAACGCCGGAAGTCAACGGTCAACACTGGAGTCAACTACTAATTATTCTTATTATTTAATTAATGTATATTTTAATTGATTAATATAAATTCTTGATCTAGACAAAATGAGTGACTAAGATTGAGTCTCACGTCCACATTTTAAGAGGTGGACTCATTGGATCCATCCTCTATCTATATATATATATATTATTAAATTAAACACGATATCATTTCAGTGTTGGGATTTCAACCTAAAGTTTGGCAAGGTCTACAAAATTTCTCCCCNTGAAACCAAAAAAAAAAAATAAAAAATAAATCACAAAAAACTATTATTCATCTCGCTCTACTTATTTATTTATTTATAATTTCACTAACTTAATTAAAAAAAACAATAATTATTAAATATTATCTTATATCCAATTTATCACATACTTATATTCAATCATGAACATCAAACCCATCGACTTGTAAAACAATTTTGAACAACATTACATTGCATGGATACAATTAGGGCAGCTCCGTTATACAAAAATGGTTCCTACAGTACACTAATGAAAATCACGAGAAAAGTAAAATGCCTAGTATACCTCCACCCTAAAAAACGTTTCAATATTCAAGCCCTCAATATGTTCAATTACGTTCGTCGTCCTCCTCTTGCCATCCTATTCACATGAAAATTTGGTATTCACTTCTTGAGATCGCGTTTCGAGCATTTTAGGGCACAAGCAAAAGGGAAAAAACCGGATATAGCAGAACTATGGAGAGGGTAATTGAAGGATAGATTTGTCATTTTTGGCCATATAATATAATTTAGTCCGTTTCACTAAATGCTTGATTACTATGAATAAAAGCACATCATGTTTCATACGGGTTAATTGCACGAAACCCCCCTGTATTATACTAAATCTGCGCGTTATCCCCCTGTATTTTAAAAATTGCATCAGACCCCCTTATATTGTACTTTGCCCAGCATACGCTCCCCAACTTACGTCTGGGTGCTAACACCGTTACATTTTTGTCAAACATCTCGTTATGCCCTTGTCATTTGAGAAGTCGGTCCCATTTGAAACAGAAAATATTCTAACTTTGAAATCGTTCTCTCTCTCTCTCTCTCTCTCTCTCTCCCCGAAAAAATCCCAAATATCTTCACCACGATTGTCGAAAATTTTGCTGATTTTAAACTATTAATTTGTAAAGGTATCGATGGCGCATAACAGATCTGTTATTTATCTTCAATGTTGAAGCCGATTGAGGAGTATTCTTCGATATTCCAAATCTAGGGTTCCCTTTGCAGCGAAATTCTTTCTTCTCGAACACATATATCGGTGGCGCATAAGGTACTCTTCGAATCCTCGTAAATTAAAGCTTATTACATTGAAAGCCGATAGTTGCATTCCTGAAATTAGATTTCTTATGCTATGTGTTTTGGAAAATAGGATTTTTGGTCAAGTGAAGTGTCGTGCTTGTGATTTTAAAATTGGGGAAAGTCGATTGCTTCATTTGGAAAATTCTAAAAAGTCGATATTTTCTGATTTGAAAATTAGGGTTTTTTGATTTGAAATTTAGGGTTTTCTAATTTAGAAAATAGGAAGTTTAGATAGCTTCATTTTCAAAGTAAAGAAAGTCGATAACTTCTGATTTGGAAGTTAGGGTTGTTAGTCAATTTCATGCTTTTGATTTTTAAATTAGGGCTTTTTGATTTGGGAATTGGGGTTATTTATTTTATATTGTCTGTAGATCGAATTGTGGTCCTTGTGTGGAATTTTTTACTTTGAAATGTATTGATGTTGTTTGTTGGAACAATTTGTGGTCATGTGTGATGTGTCTTTGTTCTTTGTTTAATGTATCCTTTCTGTAGGTTGAATTTGTGGTCATTGTGAAATTGTTTAATCTAAAAGTTATTGATGCTGTTTGTAGTGTCCTTTTGTGATATGGTATTGGTTGTTTGTCTAATTGTGGTCCATCTTGCATAGTAAGTGTTGATGCATATAGTATTCTATTTATGTTGTGCTCCCTGATTTCATATTTTAATCATATCATACTTGTTGATTTGTAGAAGATGGCTATTGTATTTGATGTTAGAGTTGGTGGGGAGATAAAATATCATCCATTTGCGCACTACTTTGGTGGTCTAAGAGTTGCAGTTGACTACTATGATGTGGACAGGTTGTCCTACTTTGAGTTGATGGATGTGTACAGGCAGGCAGGTGGCAAATCATCTGTTGTGGACATTTATTCACACAAGCCTGGAAAAACTCTACAAACAGCAAAGAAGTTCATGAAGATTGCCACTGACAGTGATATTTTGAAGTTGGTGAAGAAGTATACAGGGGAACATGTCATCCCACTATACTTTGAAGATTTGCAAGGCCCTATACAACAATTAGACATTGATGGGAATATGATGGATGCACGAGAAGAGATCCCACTTCTTGAATATCCACAGACTGAAGAAGATATTCTAATTGACATGTATTGTGATCAACAAACATCACCACAACAGAGTGATAAAGAAGCACAAGAAGAGGATGATTTGCAATCAGTTGAAGAAGAACAAGATGTTGTTGGTGAGGTGGATCCTACAGAAGTGAGA